TCCTTACGAGAATTCGTCATAAAAAACAAGAACTCATATGAATTATTGCAGGTGAATTTTTAAAAATTACATGGATTTCGGAGGAAAGTGCGAAGAAAGGGAAGCGGTTGTAGTTCTGTTCCCATGAGGGAGGGGTTGGTCGGTAAATAACACAACCTTAGTCGTAAATATGATTGTTTTGTTTTCATTCCCGTCGACTTCAGTTTAGCTCTTCTTTTTTTTGATAAAATCGAGTTGGATCATGAAGCTTCCTCAGATCTCTTATTGCTGTAGAATAACGAAGAAATGTGAAGCAACCATCAAAAATCTGTAAGGTCGCAAACGGGTAATGCCCCAGAGCTAGTTGGTTCACACTCAAAATCTTGTTTTTGCATCGATTATGTTACAAACCACATAATTACCCACAAGATCATCACACAGGCACAACCACTCATAAACCTTACGGCGACCTTGCTAAGAGTGGTTTAATGGTGCAAAACCGCTGTCCAGCACCGTACAGCTACCGTATCGTGTCCAAATTTGTCTCAAGTGTCTGTAGGCGTGAATTCGGCGCGGTCCGAGTGCGGGAGATAAGTGTTCGCGACACCTGCTTGTGTGTTGATAAGTCGGCTTGTTTGCTGATACCTGTGAGAGCGAGACGGTGCGGAGAGAGCACGCATTCGCGAGAGACGCGCGACATCGAGTCTATTTGCTTACGGTAGTCGCGCGAATTCGCCATAGAGCGCATGTTTGCCGACACGCTCTCGTCGTAGCGATCGCCACTGCGCGCCGCGGAAGTGTGTATTGCGTAGTCGACCCTGATAAAATGTTTACACGATGTCATTGTTATGTCCGTCGGCACACTGATTCGAGTGCTCGCGACGCGCGCGAGGTTCGTAGGTCACGACGAACCTCGTCGCGCTCCGTGGAGGATTCACCTCAGAGACACACACGCACGAGCACACAATGTAACTGATTCCTCGTTCGTGGATCGTGTCACGACGACATGTGATGGGGGACCTGCATCTCCGGCATCTTGTAGGGGGTAATAATAGCCAAATTTGACTGACCTTCCTCCAGAGCAAGACCTTTCTAGCAGTGCCACTGAGCAGGCACTCATAGGCCGAGTAACTCCTATAAACGTAACCATAGCAGGAAGTGGTCCTGTGCACGCGAACATCCCTGTGTTTTGTTAGCTTTCAACTGCTTGATTTCAAAATTCTTTCGCTGAAATCCTTTTTCCTGTTTTCCGAGGCTTACTTGTGTTTCCTGAATTTCGGTAGAAAGTCCTATTGATCCTGAGCAATTTCACAACGTTGACGCGTAATTTGCATCAGAACTTTCGAAATAACTGCATGGTGTGCGAAGTACTTGCAAAACAACACTAGTAGCCCTATGATACTCTATAGCAACCTCTGATTTGAACTTGAGTTGATTACTGCTAATTTTTGAAGCCTCGTTGGACTGCTGACTGACGGGGCGCTAGAATTTGCACTAACGGTATAATCCGTAGTTTCGAGACCTAATAGTATGAAACTCATACAAAAAGTATAATTATGACTCTTGTATTCTTTGTTATTTTATTTACTATCATAAGCTCAGAACCTTTTGTTATGGTAGGACTTGCTATCAAATTTTGAGGTTCCCCTTTCTTCCTCACTCCACTTCAAGCCTACACCGAATTGTCAGAATTTTTTGATCATTTGGTCACCATGCAACGAAGGGCACGTTTTCGATAAAAAATGCATTTTTCATCATTTACTGGTTAAGTAATAATGAAAATGATGAAGCAGCGGTTTTCTCCTTTTAGCGTTTTTGCACAGCATGGGAACAGCGGATCGAATTACTCCAACAAGTTTTTTATATGTTGCATCATGCTTGTAGATATACTATTCATATGAAACCTAGATAGAGAATCAAAAAGGATGTGTTCCTTTTGGAGAAGATGTGAGATTTTTTGAATTTTTTGAGGCTGCAAATCGCATTATGTTAGCATGGTCTTCCAACTAGCTTCATGCTACTGTCTCTTCTAAAACCACAAACGAGCTGTTCCTCACTAGCATCTTCTCCAAATTCAGCTTTCACCGTCGCGCCAGCTTGTAGAGCCGGCTTATGTGCTACGGTAACCTCACCCACCTGACGATCATTGCGCTGGCGCTTCTTGCCCAGATTACTGACTCTGACATCGTCTCTCCACACTCTAAAATAGACTCCTCCTTTTCTTCGTCTGTCAGCACTCAGCTACCAAAGTTTACCCTTATCAGCATCATCTACGCTCCTCGTAAGAGCGTGTGTTAACGATTTGGCGGTCCCTTTTATCACGAATGTTAACTCGTCGTTGTCGAATAGTTGCACGCAGAGATAACTGTTGACCATTAAGGTCAGCCGATGCGCCTGTTCTTTTATCGTCATCGTATCTAAAACTGACATCGGCCCTGCTGCTGATGCTGTGTGTGTGTTTCATTCATGTTTGAGAGAGAAAAATGTTTGAGCGATTTCGTTGTGGAAGATCTAAACAGCGATAATTTATCTCCTGTCATTCTCAGCAAATCACAAAGGGTTCTCCAATAATGGATAAGTCAAGCGTGCTACTTATTTTTTTGCAGCATCACTGAGCAAAGTGACCTTATTATTAGTTTTCATAATTTGATACTCCATATTTTGATCGCTGAATTTATTCTGTCATCAAATGGGCAAGCTAAATCTTACAATTTTTGCAATTATCCAAAAAGTCTAGTGATGGAAGAAATTGTCATCATCAGTGAGGCATATCTGGTAATTTGTGGGAATGAGGAGAAAGCTTTGGGTAAGTAAAGTAGGGTAAGAAGTTGTGGAAATAATTTCAGTTCTTGTGATGGAGACACTGTTTATAGCTGCCAATAAGAAAAGTCTGAAACATTTCCAAGTGCTTAGCATTTTTGTAGACAACTGAAACTTGATGTACTTTTCGGACCCACAAAAAAAGATATATTTTTCTTTGTTCTCTTCATGTGCAGCCCTCTAGTAGAGATAGTGCATGTTTGTTCGTGCAAGTACTTTGAGCACTTTTTGACAATTTTGGAGAGCGATTACATCTGTTACAAACATCGTTGATGCTCTATTTACGACATTTTTGACCAAGTAGTCAGCCTTAGAGCTTGAGCGACGGGACTGATAACTACTTTACACTTGCAAAAATACTATTATGCAAAACGCTTCCGAAGAGTCACCTTGGAGATCGATAATCAGTTGCTTACGAGGAGGGAAGGTCGTTTAGGTATGTAAATGAGGTTTGGCGGGGGGCCCCGCATTTATCCCCTTATCAGCGGAGGCCGGCCAATCGATAAGGCCTGGCTGGGCCTCTTTGTCTGCTCTTCCATATGGCGCTGTCTGTTAATTGCCAATCCCCACAACCCACATCTACCCGAACTGACTGACTGACTGTCCACTTCAGAACCCGACACCCGTGGCTGCTACTGTACCCGCAGATAAGGGCCTCTTGCTCGTCAGACGAATTTTTGCTGAGATGGCGCGAGGCGCGGCGGCGACAACGCGTGACACTGAGGTAGTCGAGAGTGGAGTACCGTGATGACGCATACATTTCAGAATTACTGAGTGAGAGAGAGGTGAGCGGGAGTTGTCAAATAGGGCAGAATGGTGGAATCGATAACTCGCTACTGCCTCGCGCTACTATGCGTCATGTGAGAGTTATCGGTGCATTCAATCGCCTATCAACTCGACTCGACTCGGTCTCAGCTGCAGGCTCCCGGCGCGGCAGTCGAGCGGACCCCAGGCTTTGGCCAAACCCGAACGTCGTTTTCGCGCACCTCCCCTGAATCTTTTGAGCTGCTCCTCGTCTAATGGATTATCGCGTATTTGGCAGAGTAATTTATAGACACTGCTGCCTTGGAGCGGCGGAGCCAAGGTGGTCCTCATCAGTAATTGTCGGCCCGGCCGCTTAGCAACCATTGTGAAGCCCGAATTGTTGACTCGACTCGACTCCAAGCGCCCCATTGCCCAGCCAGTCCGAATTCGGCACTAATACCTGACACCCCAGCTTCATCATGCTGCGCATTTACCCAAACACCCGCACCTCTGTCTCCGCTGCGGGAGTCACCTCACCCATCCACGGCGCCATATGCGCACAAGCCACACAACAGCATGTTCGCGACCTCATCTCACGTAATTATCCCCGTCTTTTGTGAGAGTGGTCTCAGCGGTCTTACCACTGGCGATGTTACCATTATCTGCCCAGTACTGCCACATTTGTCTATCAGTCAATCATCCCCTCATCGATTATCGCTGGATTAGTCTTGTCAAATTCTATCGGCATAATCCATAATCAATCAGCCACTCACGACTCTCTATCAGTGCCTCTCCACTAACTCTCTCCTCATCAAATCCGTTTCCTTTCCAAAATTTCACTGGTTGCTGTATCTTTTCGAATGAAAATGTCCAAACTGCTTTGTGAATGTGACGGCGGCGCTTACGCCTATGACTCTTGTCAGGTTTTTCTCGAATCGAATGGCTAGCGTGCCTAAAATGAAGTACGAAGTGTGTTTTGAGGTTTTGATGCAAACTACATTCAAATTTAACTTTGTTTGCAACTTAAAGCTTGGAATTCTGGTGTACATCTGTGACGTTCTTTTTTCACATATAAAACATCTGAATATCACTCTTCTGCGCTCATCATAGTTGGTCGTATCTGGAGTTGAAAATCAAACCTATAAAAATGTCGTGGAGATGAACATCGGAAGAGTCTACAGTTTGAGTTGTGTGCCTCTAAATCTTCTTCTCTAGTTTGCGAAATGTTATCACATTGTAGATGATAACAAGTTCCTTCGTACTTTGGACATGAAAAATGGTGAATTAAGTTTACCCGAACTTGTGTTCCTATCAAAATATGAGACCCCATCTTCTTAGAATAACGCAGAAATCTCTATTTACATTTGCATTGTTGATCTGTTTCTGCAACATTTTTATACCCATCTACTTGCAAAACTTTTCACTTCTCAAAAGTACATTCGTCTTTTTCTACATCATACAGCTTCAATGTCCAGTTTCGAGTACACAAGTGTTTTTTACGAAGAAAATTACGCTCCCTATTGATCGTCGAGTTCTTGCTGGTGAGTCTAAACTTTGCCGGAACGTTTTTCTATCTCACATGTTCCTTTGTCCGCCACACGGCGCAGCTGAAGTTTCGAAGAGTTGATTCGAGGCCGAGAGATACGAATGAAGCATGATTACTTTTTTGTTTGGTGATTGAATTTGAGTATCAACAGGATAAAGATTGGTACAATTTAGACACACAAGTAGTTGTTAGGAAGGTATGAAGTGAACCAATGAGACCTTGTCAGGTTGATGCATATTTGGTAGCAGAATTTTCCATTACAAATTCGTTCAGTTTATGATCGGGGAATGGAAATCATGCACTTAGTAGAGCTTTAGCAAACTATCGTTGTTTGCACATAGCGGCGGTCCAAAGTTATTGAGAAAGAACTCAAATCCTGCCTTTTAAAAACTTCATGATTTTTGTTGTAAAACATCAGCTTAAAATCAAATATCATTCTGCAATCATTTTACTCAGTTCTATATTTACTATGATAAATTTGATTTTTTTTCAGTTAGACATGAAGCAGCAAGTCCTCAGTAATCCTCTGGGGAGCAGATAACTCTTAACAGATTTTTTGTGTAGATAAGGTGCTATGTATATGATAATGTGATATAGTATAGGTGACTTGTCTTTGCCCTTCTGACAAAACAAGAACTCTATGCGGTTTATCTAGGCTCAAATCAAGATAGTAAATTTATTGAAAGTGCCTTTCGGCAAGTCATCGCTTTTTTTGGAACCGTAAAAAACTCTCGAAATGTTGGTTAGTCAACGGTCAGATTTGGTTAATTATCAAGAACCCTTTGTTTCTTACTTTCCAAATTTAGTCGTGTACATTTACAAGCGTTTCTTTCAACTTTCACTTGGGCATGTCGTTGTCCTGCTCGCGAGCCGCGCACCAAATCGCCACATTCACTTCTGCGCTCTTTATCAGCCATCACCGACGTCGGTGGCGGCTCTCGTCCTTGGTGTCATCGAGTCGTCGGCTGCGTAACCGACCGTGGTGGTGGTACTAGCTGGTAACCATGTATGCGTGTGTGTTTTCATCGTACGATCGTAGCGATTTGGTGTTGATAAGATGCGTATCAACTGTTCGTCGCGATTTCCATCTAAACGGGACACTCAGATCCATGATAGTGATAGGAGGCAGCGCGCGATCGCCTCCTCTCTCTCGCTCTTCGGCTGATGCTGCTGCTGATGTCGGTGCTGTTTGCCGGCGCCGACAAAACACTTTCTGATTGTCATCTTTTTTTTCGCTGCTAAAACTTTTTCCAAATGGTTGTGAAGTTCAAGCTTTGATTATGCACACATCTGACGCTGTTCAGATGCTAAATCATATCATTGCCAGTGCCTGTCGCGTAAAAAAGCTGATGATCCTAGACGCTCATAGGTGCCAAAAGTAATTTCATATATATTTTACACACGATGCAATTCCCTAGGAATATCCACTTTTTACCGTGGTAGAATGCGGTAAATCTTGACAATCAGATGCATTATCTAGATAAAAGATAAAGTGATTTATTACCTTCTTCGATCTTATCCTCTTCACGCATCATACTGTTCTACTTTGCTACGTAGCGCCACCTTTAATCCCCACCTTCTCCTCTTTTTTTCCTTCAATCTGGCCAAAAGTATTTTTTCCCAAAGAATAGTTCTACTGAATTATGAGAAATCATAGGGTCTTCCCTTTTATGGACGTGATATTCCATGCTTTTGGTTCCTTCTTTCGTTCTCCACCACCACCGCTGTCGTGCTTCTATTCTTTGCAAATGCTGGTTTTTTCGTGCGCTTGTCGTGACTTCCGTTATCTCCCCGTCTGATTTAGAATCTCTGTCCTTAATTTTGTTTTATCTAGACCTTGCCAGATGACACTGGTAGCACCACCACCACAACAGTGTCCATCAATGCCGTCTCCCACCTCAGTACCGAATGGAGTCGCTCCATCACCACCTCCACCTTGCTCAGGATGCATTAAGCTACATGCAGATATCAAACAGGTTGGTGTGGATACTGTAGTCCAGAATGTACGTACTGTGGCTAACTATTGGTACTTTGCAGAATATGCAACAAATGATGGATAAATTTGATATGATCTATATGCGATTGGAAAGTTTGATGAATGAAAAGGAAAAGAGTCGACTGCTCGTGCAAGATCAAGAAATGAGCGAGAGCGGAAGCGATGAAAAAGTTTGTCTTCATTTCAAAAATAATTGCTAGTTAAAACATCTCATATTGGCTCCCGATATCACGACAATTGTCCAGGATAATTGAAAAATCGTCGAAGAAGTTTTTCTTTCCAGGATGTACCTTCTCCGGCCGATAGCCGTGCATCTCCGAACACTGCGCAAGGTAGTCGCAAACGAAAACCGAATAAGGAAGCTGTGCACAGAGTATCAGAAGATACCCAAGACATGGCCAACCCTACCTCAGGGGTGAGCGCTGAACTTTTTTCTAGATGTCTGAGGCTATCTCTGGGCGATTTGAGTTGTGCAATAATTCTGTACGTAGGTGTCCGAGGCTCCAGCTGCGTCGGCTACTCCTTCAACACCCGTATCAACACCGGCCACCGTGCCAACATCTGGTTTCGGCGACAGTATGAGTTTTCTCAGTGGACAAATGAGTAAGAGGACTATTCAAATTTGAGGGACTTAGCGCTAAATAATTATTTTCTAAATTTTCAGTGGATCCGTTGGCTCAACAGCAGCAATTGCTCCAGTTCATCATGCAGCAGTCCCTAGGTGCTGCCGCAGCCAGTAGCACCCATCCAGCTCCGGCATCGACCCCTCAGGCAACACAAGGCGCTACTTCCATGCCGATGACCCCGTCAACCCCGGTGTCCAACGTGAAAAGCGAGCAACCCGACCCACAAGTGCTCATGGAACAGCTCCAGCAACAATTCAAAGAGGTTCGTTCGTATACGGTATCGCTAGGACGATTCCCACGGCAGTGGCTTCTTCCCAGCAATCTTATCATCGGCTACCCCTTCGGTAACCTCAGTCGAACACACGTTTTTGTGTTTTTTGTGGCATTTTACGTGCATTGTTCGCTAACGGCGGCGTCCTTTGTTCGCAACAGTTTGATGGGCGACTTTTTGGTTTTTCACAAGACCAGGAGAGAGAAAAAACAGCGAACGGCGAGTGGCGTAGGAAATGCTAGAGAGCCAACGAACGCGAGCGGACGCTGAGACTGGCAGACAGAACGCCGTTGTTTTACCATTATTTACTGTATCGTTGTAGATACTGTAGCCCATAAGCAGTCTCCATTAGAAGGGAATTTTATCATGTTTGAAGGCAGCAGCGTGAAGTTGCAGTGTTGTAGATTTGTTCTCGGTTTAGCGCAACGAATTTTGGATAAATTTCGAAGACGCCAAGAAGTGCATTTATACATACTTCCAACTCATGCGGATTATAACAAGTTAAAAATCATATTTACTTCAGGTTTTTGATGATTTCACTAAGTGTTCTCAAATAACATTTATGAAGGCGAATTGAACCTGCAAAAATCAGCTCAATTTTGATTCATTTTTTTAACATGAATCCGCCATGTATGTAACGTTCGACTTCAGTCCTTAAAAATCATTCCACTCTTAACGATAACTTCTCGCAGTAATTTTTCATTTGAAAACGCATGCCATAAAACCTTCTTCTGTTACAAAACGCTGTGATTGTTAGAGAAAAATATGTGTTAAAGTGAAACGCTACTTTGCGCACCATCATAGGTTGCTCGATCAGTGTATGTTCCAGTAAACATCAGTTTATAAAAACGCAACAGTTCTTTGTATAGGCTTTTTTTCAGTTTACTTCTTAATTCCATTTTTTCTCTTTCGCGGGAATTTCAGAATTCTTAGTTTTCACTACTTTTCAGAAACTTCGAGTAGCCTCGAAGTGCATAATCATCTGTCAAAAGGTCATATTTTTGCGCGGTAACACCTTATCAAATCATCGCGCGTCTTACCGTTCGCGTAACGTGCTCGACTAATCAGAGACGGGGCGCGGAGATAAACTGATAACAGAACAGGTTACGGTGCACGCGCCGCTGCCGCTTCCAAAGGCGCTACCGTACCCCGCGCGTCACTTAGGTGCTATGGAGACAACTTTGTGTTTTTTGCATTGGATTTAACATTTACGTTTCAGAAATTCGAGGATGAGGAGACGAATGCGTCGGTGTCTCGCTGTAGCAATTGCATGACAACGAAGACAACAGCGTGGAGGCGGGACATGGCCGGAAAACTTGTTTGCAATGCGTGTGGCCTTTACTACAGACTCCATCGGGTAAGCGGAGCATTCACCTCGGGTTATTCATACAATTGCGGGCGGAAGAAGAAAGAGAGTATCCTTGACTGGCAATTCCGTGCTCCACACGATTGACCTTTCATGATGACGACGGCGAACTGATGCACCTCGGATCGGAGCAGCGCGAGGAACTCCGACCGAGTCAAAAAAGAGCCGCGCGGGAGTCAACGCGCGCGTGCGACCTCAGCCGACGGTCAACGTCTTCCGACGACAAAAGTCACCTTACCCGCTCCACAGACACACACAATAGCTCGGCTGCAGCCGCGCGGCCTTGTGTGGTCAGTAATGATGATGATGATGATGATGATTACTAGAGCTGGAGACACACAGCTCGCTCTCCACGCTTGGCGCGCTCTCCTTTCGGCGTGCGCGGTGGTTGCTGAGGTGAGGTATAATTGAGGTGCGGAGGAGGGATAAGACGACCGGTCACCGCCGATTCGAGGGACACTGAAATGGGACAGGATGTGCATGCGCCGCTCGTGTGTGTGTCTCTGTGTGACGAGTTGAGAACACCGCACACCGTCACGGCTATCTCTACGAAGCAACAATTTGCGCATGACTCTCCATTCTAGGGGGAACATCATTAATCCATTCCCAGAAACCCCTCAGCGGGGAGGGCGCAGCTGATTTGATCCGGGAAAACCCTCGAAAACTCAAGTAGTTCACTGCAGACATTTCTTGCGCTATGATACGACTGCGTTGAAGAGATCGAAGAAAAAGTGGAGTGATATCAGTTTACTCAGAACTTTCCATCAAATACTGTGAAGTATCAGCAGAAAGTCTCGAAAACGTTTTCGCTATCGTCAAACTTCGATGGCAAATATTTGTCTAATCTTGAGATACACTTCAAACTATAGAACTGTGTTATCAATGAAACGGCGGCGGTATCTGGAATATGTTCAAACATCTGAATCACAGTGATGTTGATTGATTGCTCAAACAGTAGCTATAAGGACTACGTTTCGAGTTCCAGTTGCAAGAACGGGGGAATCCAAAAATGCCGGAAAAAATTTGATAATGTCGTATTTTGGATGTTCTTAAAAAATACGTTTTTTTGCGAAAAATAGGATTGGACTTAGATCAAATCAAGTCACCTATCGTTTTACTTGTTATCTCAAAAGCTAACCACTAAATTGAGTCGGACGAAATGAGATGATGAAAACAATTTCGCGTTGGATTTTACTATTGAATTCATAATTTTTAGGTAATTGGTGGAAATTTCACTTTGTGATAGATCAAATAATCTGGATGCCTGTTCTGTACATTGCAACTATTCTCACTGAATTTTTCCATACAAGTCAATTTCCATTTGGTTTTCTTACATTTAGTATGCAAAACGCTGCGTGAGTACAAATGCTCAACAAAATCTAAATAGACGGAGAAAGAGTTTTTTTATTCTCCAGATATGATTGATGTGAAGTGGCTGTCTTTCGCGCAGTGTTCGGCCGCCTAGAGATCTTATCTAAACCTCATATATTTCCCAATAACTTGCTAGAAAATACATAATTACTCGATTGTGTTAAGCAGTTCATTGACATTTACAAATTCAGACTCACCGCCCCGTACACATGCGAAAAGACTTCATTCAACAACGCTTCAGAAGAAAAATCAAAGAGGAGGAGGTGAGCTTTGCCGTATGTTTTTCATCCGTCGTTATCCTCCGTCACTGGAAAAATTACTTTCTTCCACAACGGCGTTGCTATGGCCATAGACAAGAAAAGATAGAACAAGGTCTTGTTTGAATTTGCCTCGAAAAAATGATGACGTCCGTTCGTCGTCATTTATCACTGCCCACCTTCCACTCTCCTCTTCTGTCGGGTTCTGTGCTCGCTCTATGCGTTTGGCGCTGTCTTGCCTATCCTCGGAAACTCAGAATCATGTTTAATGTCGCGTAAAGTCAATTGGAACTGAAGCGATGAGGAGTGCTCGGCTTTGACTGTGTAAAAATAGCGTAAACAAAAAATCTGCTCAATTGTGATGACGGGGGTTTTCGAAACAAAGAATCACCACACTTCTTACCAATCACATCATCCAGTCAAACCTTTTTGAGCCCATCTTCCTGGTTCCACCGACTTGTCGACTGGCTTAGTGATCCAGTTTTTTGGAATATTTTTGTAGCATACTCCGTAGTCAAATTGTATACCGAACAAGAGTCCAATACGCTGCAGTGTGAAACGCATTTAGCCAGTTTAGCATAATTAAGCAATTTTTATGCACGTGCACTACAATTATCAGAATTTTTGGTTGGCTATGATTTATGATTAACCAAGAGGATCACAAGCTATCAAGGCTATGTAGTAATAGCATAGAGTAAAAGTTGAGTTAGAGAATCAAGGGGGAGATTTTTTTTTGGATTAATTACATAATGAAAGTATGATAAAATAATATTTGAAGAGTCCTATTCAGCTTAAAATTTGAGCAGCCATGCGGCACCCCAAAATTTCTTGTTGCTTCGTTGGTAGAACCTTTAGCGGAACAAAGTGTCGAAATGTATATCTACGCATGTACATATACATTTCGGTAGCGGTACCAATCACCAAATAGCGGTGCATAATATGTACCGCTACTTGGTATCTATCCAATCAATCTAAGGGAGAGACGAAATCAAGGATAGATCCTTGTAATTTTACAGCTTTCAATCGTAGAAGTCGTGAAATAGCGTGCATGGTGTGTAGTACGCATTTCAAGTTGCAAATGCGATAAAGGTATTGTATTCGTGGTTTTACGATGTAAAAGGATGTCCTAGCTAGGGTTTGTGTGATTTTTCAGTCGGATAGTTCTGTGGTAAAGTTTTTTATGATGCTGTTCATGCTCAGCCCCCCCCCCCCCCCCCTCTTCTCCTCATCATTTTATCCATGAGCAGCTACCATTGTGTTGAATAATTTTTAGCTACAAAAAGCAAATGCTTTTCGGTCTATCTTTACAATCCCAACTATAGCCGAAAATCCGAGCAAGTTTCAAGGTAATCTTGCGCAAACCTAATCACCCCATCATTCACTATGCAATGGCCTTACGTATGAGCCGTGACAAACCTAACTACCCGTCGCGACTGACTTGCAGCATCTCTAGAGCTTAATGTGCCTTCGCGTCGACAGCAAAGTTGTCATGATTTTATGGAACTAGTTTGTTTAGAGCTCACAACTAGATGCTGGCATGCTTCAGGTGCGGATCATACCCGCCAAATCTTGCTTCATTGCTGAAGGTACTCAAAAATTCGAGCGACAACTAGATCTGAGTAGTCGACTTGCGCTAAAAGGTCAAAATGTTATCCATTACACGTAAGAAGTGCGGTTTTCTAGAGACGATCAGATGAGGAGAGTGAATCTGGTGTCATTAAAATGTCAGAGATGTGCTGGGGATCAGAATTTTGTCTCTTAGCTGTCATTGAAATGATCAGTGTTCCGTAGTCATTGCTTATGTCAGATTATTTTTATTTATTTATTTACTTACTATACAGAAAGTAATGCGACGCACAGTCTGCACGATTTTTTTTTGAGTTAGGGAGACGCTCATTTTCATTTAGAGGCTTCTCATTGTTCAAGAAAATCAGATGTAGTAGTAGAAGATGTAGTCATTGCTGAGGTAGCTCTTGGTACATAGGCCTATCTCCCCGTAGACGCTCTTCTCGTGCTTGATTCGTGATTAACTAACAATAAGATTCGGCGATATAGGGCGTCCTCTTTGAAACGAGGGAAACTTACTACATGTATCCTTTGATATATTGCTAGAAGAAAAAAAAACTGATTGGCGTGTGCTTTGAAAGCTAACGCTGAAAGTTAGAAATCGGAAAATTTATTAGAGGATTTCAGATACATACAACTACTTTGTAGTATCAACACTTTTCCCCGAATAGCCAAAGCAGGGCTCGGCACGAGGTGGCTTACAAGCAAGCTGGATATCGTTTTTGGGACGAAAAGCAAAGGGGGTTTCGTTTTTGTGACCGAAGAGACACGGAAAATTGGCGACGGCGACCTTTTTTTTTAGTCGACGTTTGGTTTTTTGGGGGATTTTGGGGAATTTTTCAGGTTTTTAGAGGAAATTTGGTTGAGGGTAAAAGGGGACTCGTAAAAATTCCCAAAAGTCAAGGGGGACTTCGTTTTTTCCATTTTCATCTAGCCACCTCGTGCCGAGCCCTGAGCCAAAGTATGGACTGCACCCTTCTATAAGTTTCTTTGGGTCACCTTTAGGCTGAAATAGAATTTTATGATTTTTTTTGTAAGCTTGCAATCACATTAGGCTTCTTGCGGATAAGAGATCAGTGGTATGTGCTTATTACTTGATGCTCATTTTGAGCATAATGATGTAATGTAAAATCTACGCTTGGAAGTCAAAAAAAACAGCTCAGAACTAAAAAACAAACAACTTACCTGTTTTCTAGCTCTGATCATGCTGTAAACAGTTCGCATAAAAGTTCAAAAGTCACATTGATTCAATTTATTTTATTGATAAAATCTCACTTCAGGTGAATTCGCCTTCGGCCATGCTCAACTCGCTGTTCAGCATGTCACAACTGGCGAGCGGCACCAACCCGACAGCTTTCAACTTCTTGGAGCAGTTCAACCACATGAACTCCGTGCAAGAGCAGTTGAACAGCACGGCTCCGGTCTGATAGTGCCCTAGGGGCGCAGAATCACAGACAGAACACATACGAAGCCTTTACACTCAGTACTTCGCCTACAATTGCCTAACCACCATTGTTACTTGACTCAGTTGTTGAGTTGATCATCCTAGCCCATTTACTCTCAGATAACTCGTTTTCAGTTACTTTACACACAATGTATCCATTTGTGCAATCATGTGCAAGCTAGGGTTTTCGTCGTTTACTCGTTCGTTTTGAACCAAAGCCGTTATCTTGGTTTTTTCCATTTTGTTGTAAGCCAACATTCGTTCATTTCATTGTAATATCGTCGCATTGCCTTCGGCCGGCCCCGCGTGTCTCTGAGCTTTACCCATTTATTATTCCTTGCTTTTGTTGTGATTATTCCACAACCACCGTTGATGTGGTGTTCATGTATCACTTTGTATTTTCGATGGCATCTCGAATCTATGCATTTCACTGACCAGAACCACGTATCTCCGCTACTTACCCGCACAGCATAACCACCGACTCATTTCGAAGTATTTGCGCAAGCCCAGACAGTATTTCTTGCATAATCAGTCCCTATTGCAGTATTGACTACGTAATTTCTGTTAGCTGTTGTTTTTTCTTGTAAAACGTCGACATTCTCTCTCTACCGTAACTGTTGTACATACGTTGAGCTTCTCTTCCTTTTTGAGATCGCCTAGCGATTTCGCTTATCGCGTTGCGCGCACTCTGTTCGAGTCATCGCGGATATGGTACAAGACAGAGAACACAGACATCGCTCTGCCGTCTGCACTCTATCCTTATTGAAAACTGAGCAGAAATGCACCAACGCGACTCCAAGCACCAGCCTTAGAATTTCATTGTCGTTCGTTAGCTAATTGTGGTCGCTAAGGTTTGTCACCCTGTGATCTGTATTTCTATAATTTTGCACACTGCATTCTTGTTGTTTCTCACTGGAAACATATCCTCTTGGAATAATAATCAGCACGGTCCCCTTCCGCATAATTCTTTTTACTTTTTCTATGCACAGGTTGAAGTAAATATGATATAAACAATTTATTGACTAAACAAACTCGTCCATTCACCAAAAAACAGTTAAATACGTAGTGTTGAGACTAATATGTTATTAGTAAATCATATCACATTTCAGGTTGCAACTCATAGCAACGCTAAAAAAACCGCTCTCAAAATTGCATCGACAATGGACACAAAACGTAAGGGGACAAGACATAATAACAGATATATGCAAAAAACAGGCGGTACCGTACAAGCAAAGGGGAGAAGGAGAAACAGAAGTAAAAAAAAGGATTAAAGACAATGGAAGTGCATGGCACGACATGCACTCTACCAAACCAAACAAAAATAGAAGAAGACAAGGACAACAGCGAAGATATATTACAGAAGAACAAAGTCCTAGTCAATCTTCACAGTTGAGTATATTTTTCGAACAAATTTCGCAGTGCCTACGTAGCCAATCGTTCCAGTCATGAGACCAAGTGCTGCGGAGAAGATGCCCATATAACCAAAATAGAATACCGTTTGGAACAGGCCATACATTCTGTAATCAAGAGATATGATTGATTCTTTTCAACAAACAACTTTGTCCTGAAAAACTTACTTTGTTTTGAAGAAAAAGTAGTAGATTGAGTAGAGGTAAACGTAAAGTGCCGTTGAGGAACCTGCCATAAAGCTCGTCCATCTCCTGAAAATCGTGATCTGGCTCTACCACGGCATTCTGACGGAGAGGGGGGGGGGGAAGAGAGAGAAAGGGGGAATGGGCGACACAGAATCAATCATATGCAAAGATTATGTGCGGTATAGAGGTTACATGAACAGGCTACGAGATGAACTTGAAACATCTGGCAAATTGTCAAATTGAGAAGCGAAAGGTGTTCATACCAACTTGATCAGCAAAAACGAAAATTTGAAAATTGTTTTCCCATGAGCTGCACCTGTAACTCAATATCTAGCGATTTTGTTTTGAAATAAAACTTTTTTGTGCTGAACTGACTCAAAGCTCCGGAAATCATTTTCCAAAAAAAATACCAAAAAAACAAATGAGTACTTTCCGATAGGGCAAAATAAACTTCACGACATGATCATGAAAATCCGCATAGATCGTGATCTGCGTAAATATTAGCCAAAATCAAAATACTTGATTATCCAAAAATCAGATCTAAAGCGTCCCAACTTCCTACTGGTCATTAAATAGTAACAATCAGTGTATCAGCATTCACGTACAATTTGATTGTTTTCTTAGCTATCAAAAAATAGGCATGCTTCGTTCCCACATGTGCAATTCTATACTGCAAGCTTTTCAAATAACAAACATAGACTTTCAGCCTTCTGCTAGTCGTGTATTTCAAGAAATATCAAATTTGGCAAACTCAGAAACTCCTGCATTTTCGTTTTTGGCCTATACTTATTCCTCGAGTTCTAGCCATAAAAAATGATGGGGAATATGTGCCTGAGCAAGTTGAAAGTCTGCAGAATTTTCAATTTCTGATTGATCAAAATTTCTAAGGTGGCTTTGAACTTAACTTTGACCAGCACTCTGCAGATGCTTGGAGGTCATTTTGTAGAGCTTGCTTTGCTCTAACGAAAATTCCCCGGTAGCATGTGATATAACAGAACTTCCATACTTAGAGTAAGGTTGATATAAAACGAGAACAGAGTTTGAAAGCAGATTTCAGCAATTCGAATTCTTTAGCCGCATAGTCTCATTCTAATCTTATCTAGTAGTGATTTCAATCTAAAATACATACGCCAGCAACACAGAGTCTTTTCGATTTATTTCGCGACGAAAAATCATTGTCAGCGCTGCCATAAGAAGTGTGTTCAAGGCCGTATCGTGATTAGAGTGAGAAATAGGAACCGTGATACCGCAGGAATCTGAGTTGCAGCTTTGCACTTTCTGCAAGAATGACTGACTAGAACTCCAAACTTTCTGAACAAAGAAGTTTTTGGACAAGAACATGATGACGTTACGTCTCTCTTTCTCTTCCTCCATAACTACTTATAAATGCGGGTTCGAAAGAGACCGATTTTTGCTGCAAATGTGCTAGCACATACATGAAGTCTCTTTCTCACTATTGAGTAGGCTAATAAACAATTTCGGTCATTCTTGACTGTTTGTGAGAAAACGACTGAAATATTACTGTTTGCACGCTATCATTTGAAAGAGGAATCAAAAACGATCAGACAGTCAACATTGCTTGAGCGCTAATTACCTTTTTTTGATAACAGAAAGGTGCAGGAAAGTAAAAAATCCAGATACTTTTACGACATTTTTGAAATCAAAACATCATGCACCAAAATACGCACCGATGTTGGATGCAAATTGTACAAATGATCAAATATATAATTTCGATATCTGCAACCATTCACACGGCCATAGACGGTCAAGCGATTCCGAAAATTGACTTGTGCGCATGAATGTTAGGAATTTCTCACGCTTTCAGTGCAGAAATTCGCAAACTAGATCACAGCTCCTTATGGTTCGTCAAACAACCACAGCCTCTATGTATGCAAGCAACTCACTGATCTGCACGCACACTGTTAACACAGTGACGACAATACGACCCACCGGTGGGTCGTAAGATTCATGAAGCTCTAGCTTTGCCAATTTACGATGGAATTCTACGTTTTGGGTTTGGGGTTTTGGATGGGGTTTTGGCACATGATTGGGACACCTAGGTGAAGCTCCAGCCAGAGTGGTCCGAGCTCGGGATACTGTACTGCAATGTTACGGTAGGTATACGGTAGATAGATATATGGTACAAACTTTTAGCTCAAATTCTTCAAAATGATGCTGTTTCTGGAGAATCAAATTTACATGTAAAAATCATACGAGGCGGGCAAGAGGTTGACGTTAGCCCACCAAAAAATTATCGATTTTATTGATTTTTGCATTTTTAATCCCAGGAAGCTCGAACTTTGCATATATAGGTTTTGTAGCATGCTTAGATTACGAAAATGATAACCTCAAGTTGTTACACTACCTCCTTATATCAGTTTCTTGATTTCTGCGAAAATTCTACCGTACTGCTACACTCTGTTCACAACTGTGGGACAGTAGTGCACAAAGTGGACACTATAAACTTAATCAGCACGTGAAACAACTCCAAAACACAATTTTTCATGGAAATCTATGGTGTTGGTTTCGTACAGGACGACTACCGTAACCTTACCGTTTGACGCCAAAAACTGAAATAAATTGTTTTTTTTAATAATCAGCGCCTTCGATTACCCCTCTAGAAGAATTTTCGGGGACATGTTTTGAACTTTTCCCAAAAAGACTACCATCTCGGACAATACGACCCACGGGTGGGTCGTAATTTTGACGAAGCGAAAAAGGCTCCTGTCTGAAATGGCAGTAATCAAAAAATTGGCCTTGTCGTCAATGTGTTAAAAGTGTTTGGAAGCTTAGCCGTATAAGGGCATGATTGCTATAATATTTACTAGTGAGGAAATCTTTGCAGATCTGATATGCGAGAGTAGAGGTATGAAATTGCCTCCCCACGTAAAATCTTGGTTGAGCAACAGCTATCAAAGTTGTTAACAAGGATCCTAATTGCAACTGATCGACCCAAGAAATATGTTAACCCTGCAACTAAGGAATCCCCTCAAACGCACAGGTTTCCCTTCAATCAACGAGGAGAACATCATATTTTTGGATAAAGTGAAGAACATCATAATCAAGTGAATGATCGAACATTTTTCTATATCAATGTTGGTTTTCGTAGTTTGCTCTAAAATACTGGAAAGTGGTACCGAAGAGTAAAAGCACGCTGATTGAAAATACTATTCGCAGTTTGAGCTAAGTGTCAGGCTTGGAGAAGTAGGTATGATGTAAAAGCAGTATATGGGTCGATTTGGCACCTCAGTTTCAACGAATCACTGCAGCCGGCTCCCCGATCAAACCATAGCCCCGCTGAAGCTGCAAAACATCGTTTCCAAGGCAAAAAATCGCTTTGAAATTTCGACATTGCCGCCCCTTAATCAGTTTGTCTCGGCGTCCTGCATGAGTTCCTTTCTAGGCTTCTTGAAAACGAAGTCCCTATCGGCTTTCGCGAAATTTTACGAAGTCACTTTTGACTCTCAGCCCTAAAGGTAAAAAAAGGTAAAAAAGAACTCAAAAAACGAAACGTCGACTGGAAAAACGTCAATTTTTGGCCACAAAAACGTCTCCTTTGCTTTTTCGCTCCAAAAACGAAATTCAGCCTGCTTCCATACGATCTGTGCAGGGCTCTGGTTTGTCCTTACTGAATGGATCGTGGCAGGACAACGCCTAAGCAATGTTGTCAGACTGCAGCGGCGTGTCCCACCACACCTATCGCGACAACCATAGTGGAGTTTTGCAATTTCGCAACACGCTGGCTGTGTGCCAAGCACGCGGGGCGGAGCTTTTGTGGGGCGCGTGCTTGGCACTGTTTTGACCATTCCGGTCTTTCGTCAGCTTAGGAGAGGCACTCTTCATGCTCTGTCTCCTATTAAGAAGAAAAGAGGAGTTATCGCTCGAGTATAGAAGCTAGGATACGCTGATTCATGGAGTGTACAAGTTGGTAGGCATGATGTCTTCCTCATACCTCTTGAGGTTTGTTTGTATTGAAAGAATAGCGGTCACCTTTGGTTCGTATAGAACGATCATGTCGGAATGTTAATACTTACCAAAATAGGGTACAAGTGATTGTGTTGTCATATGTACAAATGTTCCTTATGCATAGACTTTCGACGTGTCCTGCGTAATTTCTGGTTCAAATAGAGGAGGTCACCTCAAGCAGGAAGCAGTTTCTTGGCCTCGATTAGAGCTTTCGATCAGTGCTCCATAGCGATTGTGGGACGTTGCAGACTTACAGCTTTTCTCACTGGCGACTTCCTAGATAGAAGTATACTTGCTTCATAGCTGTTGTTGAGTCAGCTTCAAAGACAGACTTAAATGGCGGAATATCTGTCTGTCTAGCCAGACTACATATCTGCACCGTCTCGCTCACCACAAGGATGCTAGCTGATATCATCAGATGTCGACCCAACCATGGGTAGCGGCTATGCTTAGTTGAGATAATCTCAATGCCGTATGTCGAGATGTTCCTCGGACCCATTCGGGGAATTTGATTGTGCGCCGGTGTTAGTTTTGCGACCCTTGGTGTCGAAATGTAAGTTGGACTCAGGCTTCTTGAAGCCTAGCCGGTAGTGGATCTTCTATCGAGGATAATGATCAACCATTGGCCATTTGTAGAAGTTGAGAAACAACTGTGAACTTGGGAAATAAGTCAGCCGTTTCTTGAAGCCGATGTGTCCCGGCATTCCGATCCAGGAGTTGACGAGTGAGTTGAGGTTTCATACGTTTACAAGTCTAGCCGGACGATGGCAAGTTAGTTACCGGCTTTCTGAAGCTGGTCTTGGATCTTGTTCCAGAAGGGGATAGTACCGATACGACCTTACACGTTGACTTTGACTTTGGCTTCGCGAAGCCTAGTGTTTCCGGATCCCGATACAGAAATGAGGGTTGATTTGTTGTTTCTTATGTAAATGGAATTCTAACCTTGACGGCCAAAGTCACACGCTGGCTTGAAACAGTTTGGATAAGGTTTTGATTGAACTCTATGGCTCGTGTTAGAAAATGTAACCATGATAAACAGAGCTGATGCCGGTTTCGTACAACCGAGGGTCCTGGATCTCGATCCAGGAGAGAGAGAGAGA